ATGTATTTAATTAAAGATTTATTTCCTTCAACATTCATTTCTCAAAGTACAAATGTCATTAGAAAAATAGTCTAGTCAATGTCGCTCTCTAACATATCCATCACATCTGGCATTATAGGGTACGTTTGCGTGAGTCTGGGCAACCTATCAGAGACGTTTGCGCAAAACATGTAAAAATACTTTTCCTCGTACAATTCCAGTCAATTTTGGTCAACTCGATACTTCTATAGCTACCTAATGTAGCTTGAATGTACATTTTTTAATTTGCACGTTAATTGTAATTCGCGGTTATTAAGTATTTACGGCAGTAGATTAGAACAATAACATACATACATTTTTAAGTCGTAAGCAAACATTCGACCATAATAAAGAATCAACAAGTACACAGACGAACGAGCATGGTTCCGAAAATTAAATCAAGGCGATCTTCTCAAAAATACTTAAATTTTGGATTTACTGAAGTAAATGATGGAAAAAAAGCCCCAGCTCGAAATGTGTTAAAACTTACAAATCTGTAGAACAACATGTGAAAGTTGTTTTTAAAACATGTAAAATCATTTAGCTATGTTGGCAAAGAATTTTAAAAAGTATTTTCTGGATGAGGACAGCTTGGTAGCAAGTTACGAGTGGATTAGGGATCTATTTCAACATACTCCAGAAGGGCTCTCAACTTCCGAAGAAGAAATCTTCATAGATTTCTCATCCAGTGAAAAATTAAAAGGCAATTTTGTAATAAATCGCTCTTTGAATTTGGGGTAGAGGTGGATGAGGAATTATCTGTACTGAAAACAAAAGCACTTCGTATACTAGTACCATTTTCAACATCCTACCTTTTTCAAACCTTATTTTCTGCAGTGGATGCCTTGAAGACAAAATATAGATCTCAGCTAAATATAGAAAAATAACTCTTTAAGTATCAATTTCTGATATTATATAAACCTTCCTTTGAAAAACTTTCCTCTACAAGACAAGCCCGTGGAAGTCCCTAATAATTATTAAACTTGTTCTTAATTTAGTAAAAAGATTGATTGATAGAATATTAACGTCGCACTGTTCAGCTGCACGAGGCCTTTTGACGACGGACCACGTAATTTTGAACCATGGTCAAGTGACGTGGATGACACCTGAGCTGGCACCCCTCTCTCCTAACTACCACACCACACCAACGGGAAAACGTTTCAACTCTCAACAGATTTAACGTGCATCGTTGCCCTACACGGCGGGCCTTTAGTGGTACTGGGCTTGAACTTGTGACAAGGCAAGCCATGATCCGATACCTATACCACTCGGCTACCGCGGCCAAATTCAGTAATAAGAAATTATTTATAAAATACCTTCTTCAGTACTGATACATCAAACGTATACTGGCTGAAACACCGACTCTTCGCACGAGTTCATTTTTTAAAAAAATGAAACATTATTCTTGATATAATAGCTGAACTGTAAGGAGAGTAAAACTGTGTGCACGACATTGTATACAAAAATGTAAAATGATTTTTTTTTTAGATAAATGCTATAATTGTAAATAACTGTTTAAAAGAACTGTAATTTTAAACCTCACACAATTAGCATTTAGAATTAATGTTAAATTATGAAAAAGAATATAAAATTCCGATAAAGAATAGTTGTGTTACTTTTTAACATTTAAAGCGAGAAGACTTCAAAATGTTTTAACCCGGGAGCAGGCGCGTACTCGATACTAACATTAATGGTAGTGGGGGGGAACTCAGTCACCCCAATCATTTGTTTAGAATTATTTTTTTTTTACTGTACACGATACAAATCGGAATTAAAGTGAATATTTTAATTTATAGAAAGTATACTTACCTTCTTTCAAGGACTATTAAATTCTTTGATGATTTGAGAAAAAATCCAATAAAACTGAACTAAAATGATTCATAATAAAGGACGCAAATCAGACACTTTTCAATTATCCTACAGAAATGTTAAACCAATCAATTCTTTTCCAAATATCGCAAAACTCAATTATTTACAATTTCCCTAAGCGAAAAGCAAACGCATAAAAGATGGGAGGGAACTAATATTGATAATAACCATACCATAACATTGAAGGTCAATTAAATGATTAGCAAACATACTATGCAGCCTGGCTGAAAAGTGAATCATGACTTCCTTTTCTTTTTCTACAACTAATGTACAGTATTTCAAAAATAATTACAGTGGTGAATTGTTTATCTTAGAATTTTTCTCAGGGTCTGGGTTTCGTTTTTCTTTTAACGAGTAATATTTTATGTTAAAACGTTATAAAAAAATCTCTCATTGAGGAAATACAGCAAATAAAACAAAATATTTTTTTTTCTCTTTAATTTGGTTTTGGGATCAAAGATAGCAATTTGATGACGGAAAAAAGCCAGATAATAAACATAAATTAAGTCAGTGTTGTGTGTATTTTTTTATTATGGATGAAAGCATTTTGTTTTACTTTTGTTTCCGGTTATTCTTTTTAAAAAAATTCTTTAAATTTTCGATACACTCGCGCCCCCCAGGGGGGCGCGCCCCACACTTTGAGAAACACTGCCATAGGTAATATCCACGTGATTCTTTCAAGATCGATATCAGGCAAAGAACCTAAACTTCTGCTTGAGCATTTTTTGAAGCATTCTCTCAATTCATTCTATAGAAGGTATGATTTTACTTTCGCAGTCTCTGGAGCATTGAAAACTTTTTTAGGAGTTACTAAAAACTATTTGGAGGGATTTGTACAATATTCGAATTTCATCAAAGCTCGATATTTGCCATTAATGTTATTTCACCCCTTTCGTTTCTATCTTATACTCCTTCTCCCCGAATAATATAATAGCTCAAACAAATGTGTGTTTTTTTTAAATTTCCTTTATCGTTTTTATATGTTTTAACAAAATTCAATTTAATATATACTGTTACCGAAATTTCGGCCTGCCTTTACTTTTGCGTGGAAGCGATATTGTGGTCAAAAAAAAATCATTTGCGTTTTCATTGATCTAATGTGATATTTTGATTGCTATTTTGAATTGTGATATGTGACTTTGAATTTGGGATATTGTGAATTTTGTAGTGCGTTTTAATTGTTTCTTGTTAATTTAATCTAAAATCTGCATCTAAATTTTCTTTTCAGTCAAAAACGTTTCATAAAAAAACACCATTCAAAATAAAATTAATAACTACTACTACTAATAATAATGATTAATGTAATAAAGTTCTCCGCTTACAACAAAACCGAGAGAATTTAGCTTAAAAAAGAACATCAGGGGTAGATCAAGCCAGAATATATGTAATACCAAGTTTCAGATAAGTACACATTTTATTAATAAAAGTACAAAAATTCGGAATAATACATATAAGATAGGCTCATAATTTTTACAATCAACGCCAAACACGAAAATCTGTTTCGTCACCTAGAACTTCCACCAACCGTAGCGCATAATCATCTATTCGGCAATATAGAATCTTGCCAATTTCACTATTTAAAATATTTCTTGCTCGTTAAAATATATAAATGAGAAAAAAATTGTAATGTGTAAATGTTAGAAAAATAGTTGTCCTTGGGATCCTTTTTTCAATTCTTACTATTAATTCACACGCTCCCTATTTATATATTTATTTATATACGAGGGATGATTACAAAGTAAGATCTCCAATAGTTTCGAAGAAGATTGTGATACGTTGTGGTAAAATGTATAATGTTGTGGTAGTTTCCCAACAGACGTATTCTTAAGGACAGCACTTTTATTCAATATAAACATGTAAATTTTAAAATTAAAGGACCCACGCGGGTAATGTTTCAAAATAGCCTCCGACCTAACGCGCCGGTGCCGAGAAACTCTCTCTTCTTATACAAAAAAAAACACATTCTTACCGGAGGGAAGCACAGTGCGCCTCCTGGTGAAGGGAGGAAACACTACAAAGATAAAATAATAACATAGGTATACGAATGAAGGACATTTACTACTCTTACGTATTGTTTATTCATTTCTCAACATAGTTACCCCAAACACCTAAACATTTTTCAATCGTTCTAACCATTTCTTCATTCCGTCCAGGTGAAAGATTGTGGTTGGCTGTGTATCCATTTGTGTACCGCTGCCTGAGCTTTGGCGTCCTGGATTCCTCAGAATGACCTAGAAAACAAGAGGCAATCCATGGAATATCGTCATCGTGGTTCTCTGAGTGTCAAGATATTCAAAATTTTAGTATCAGCAACAAAAGTCATGCTCACCATCTTTTTGCATGCAAAAGATGCTCTACACAGAATTCCTCACTGAAGGATTGACGATGAATTCCAACAGGTACTGTGTAACATAACGATCGCCCGAGCAACGCATCCGCAAAATCAGACCAGAAGAAAACGTCTTTCTTTTGCATCACAACAATGCAAGACCACATTGCGGTGCACAAACATAATATTTCATGGGAAACTGAAATACATAGTGGATCCACGACTTTCTTACAGCCCAGATGTGGCACCGACGGAGAGTTTTGGTTGTTCCCAAAATTGAAGGAACGGTGAAAGGTCAACGTTTTTCAACAGATGTCGAAGTTCAGGCAACCATGCGCAAATGGATACGCAGCCAACCAGAATCATCAGAATCTTTTAACATGGACGGAATGAAAAAATGTATCGAACGATTGAAAAAATGTCTAGCTATTTGTGGTGACCATGTTCGAAAATGAATATAAAATTTGTAAGATTAATAAATTTTCTTCATTCTGATACTTCTGTTACTACTTTACCTTGTCGGAAACTTATTTTATACTTTTGGAGACCTTACTTATTAATTAACCCTCGTATATATCGTGTTCAAATTTTCAATTCTTAACAAAATATACATTTTATTCATCCACTCAAGTTCAAATACATTTTTAAAACTTGTTGGAGATGACACTTGATATCAATACTGTTTTTCCAATATTAATTCGCTAATAAAATTTAATTATTAAATAAATAGTAAAAAATAAGAATAACCCAACATCATATATAAAAAAGTAAAAGCACTCGGTGTATCCCTGTAGTGCAATAGATAGCACATTGGACTTCTAATTCAAAAGTTATTGGTTTAAATCCCATCTGGGGTGATTTATTTTCTCAGAATGTGATTTCTTTTTAACGTGCTATTTTATTGGAATAACTAAATTTACTTAATGAATAAATAGTAACAAAAAATTAATAGTCTAACACCATATATAGAAAGGAAAATGGAAAATTCTAGGGAAAATGGTTTTCTATTTTGGCACTTAGTAGTGTGATTCTGTCATATGTATATACATATTTGCATTTATTGTAATTATTTCATAAAAAGTAACTAAAATATTTTTTTCTTTGTTGACTTTAATTTCTACACTGCTGGACAATTGCTAAGGACGGATCACAAATTGCTATGTAGCATAACAATAAACGAGACAGGAGGCCTAGTAGGATAAAATATAGTTGCCCTACTGTTCAGACATTAAAATAAAGAATAGTTATTGTTCTGGAAAGTGCAAAAGCTGTGAAACATCTGAAAGAAAAAGAAAATGTTCATTTGATCTGCGTACGGAGAAATGGAACAATGCATCTAAAAGTCAGCAGGCACCTTAAAGAAAGGTATCAGTACAGGATATGTCCACCGTGGAGTGTGATGCAACATTCCACACGTCGTGCCATACTTTGCACAACATTATCCAGCAGCTGTTGAGGCAGTTTATCCCATTTCTCTGTGAGTGCACGGATGAGGGTGTTCTTGTTTGTCGGAGGATAGTTTCGACCAGAAACTTGCCTCCCCAAAGCATCCCACACATTTTCAATGGGGTTTACATCTGGAGAACGCGCTGGCCATACGAGACGTTGAATACCCTCGATGTCTAGACAATCCTGAACAGCGAGTGTTCGATGACATGTTGCGTTGTCGTCCATAAAAACAAATTTATCACCGACAGCACCACGGAAAAGACGAACATGAGGAAGTAGAACTTCATCAATGTATCGTTGTCCCGTCATAGTCCCATTCACAACCACATGTAGGCGCGTGCGGCCATTGATCATGATGCCGGCCCACACCATGATACTGCATGTCGGATATCGGTCCTTTTCCTGAATATTTTCTGGACGATCAGCAGTACCATTCTCGCGCCAGATCAGTTGGCGACTACAATCCGATGACAGACTGAACCTACTATCATCTGAGAATAGTACGCATGCCCAGTCCTGTTCAGTCCAATTGTGATGCTCACGACACCATTGCAAACGGGCAGTACGATGCTGTCTGGTCAATGGGACACACACAACAGATCTGCGTGCGTATAGCCTTCCTCCCCTCAAACGTCTGGCAACAGTTTTTCGGGAGATCTGCTTTCCTGAGGCAGCAAGAAACTGATTTGCTACCTGCTGAGTTGTGGTGCGCCTGTTCCTTTTTGTTGATAGGACGATATATCTGTCTTCTGCAGGCGTCGTACTTCTAACACGACCTTCCCTGTGCCGTCTAATACACATTCCAGTAGTTTTAAATGACTTCCACAGCCGTGAAACAACGCAGTGAGCGATGTCGAACGCCCTGGCAACATCTGTTATTTTTCGCCCTTCTTCGATCTTTCCAATAATTCGGCCACACATAAAATCATCTATGTGATGTCGGGAAGACATGCCAAAAATTTTAAGTTCGTCTATTAAATCTTTCCTGTAAAACTTTGACTTGAAACAACAACTGTCCACACGCGTCAAAACCTTTAAAGCTCTTATGAACGCTATCACATGATAAACAGACGTGGAAAGAAAATTTTCATACTCATTCTTCTTCTTACTAATATTCCGCACTTATTCTGATTTTCCGCATTTTGCTTCCTTTCATTTTGTGGTTGCTATGGATGATAGTGTTATCCGTCCTTAGCAATTGTCCAGCAGTGTATATATCTATATACAGTGGGCCACAAAAGTGTTCGTACACTTGCAATTTCTTATAAAATTTAATGTTTTTGACTAATAAAAATTAATATATTGTAATTGTAATTTTTTTATGCCTGCAACTTGTTCTTAATGGAATGACATAATTACTTTTTTAAAAAACAGTATAACTATTTTTTAAAAAAATTAATAATCAAGAAGTTATTAAAAATTTATGCCAAAAAAAACTCTTCGCAAACTTAACCAAAATTTCAACTTAGCTTTAAATTTTGTATTTCTTTCATAATATTTAGTACTTAGTAGGATATCTTTTATTGTCCACAAGAACTTTTAAGCGTCTTGGTATATAGATTAAATCAGGTTTTTTGTAATTTCTGCATCGATTTTCCTCCATTCTTCTGTGATTATGGTTTTTACTTCTCATTTCATGTTTATTTGTCATGTTTTTTTTACACAAAATTCTCACCAAATATGTTCTACTGGGCTGAATAAAGTGGTTGAGAAATTGCTCCCCACACTGTCACACCTTGTGAAATTGCTGTATGCCGTGCTTTTCATAATTTGGAGACATTTATAGAGACACCAATGGCGTACATTGAGAGCAGTGCGCTTGGCGTCATTATCCTGTTAAAAAGTGAAGTCGTTTCCACAATATCCAAATTTCAGGTGGATAATTTAAAATTTCTCTTTAAAATATTTAAATAAAGCCCATGATTCACAATATCAACAAAAATATCAAATTATCTAATTATGTGGTAGATTTACACCCCCACACAAGAATACTTCCACCTTCATATTTTATTGATCCAACTAGATTCTTGGGATTAAGTTTCAGGAAATTCAAAATTAGACGACAAATTGATTGGGATGGCAGATGGTTCAACATTTTTGATTCCAATGGGCCTATAATAGCTTGTAAATGAAAAATAAGGAGTTTAATCCCATGAATTTATGTGGAACAAGAACTCCTCCACCTCCATGCTTCAGCATGGAAGTGACGGTGTTCTGGCGTGGGTGTGTAAATCAGCCTCAGAATTAGGTAATTGGGTATTTTTTTATGGTATTTTGAATCTGATGAGCTCTATTTAAACAATTAAAAGAGAAATTTTAAATTATCTGCCCGAAATTTGAATATTGGAGGCGACTTAATTTTTCAACAGGGTAATGACGCCAAGCGCACTGCTAACAATGTACGCCATTGCTGTCTCTCTTTAACAGTCCCCAAATTATGAAAACACATCCTCAAGCACTTTATTTAGAACAAAGTTGGTGAAATTTTGATGTAAAAAACAGAAAACATACTAAATAAACACAAAATGGGAAGTAAAAACAATAATCACAGAAGAATGGAGGAAAGCCGATGCAAAAATTACAAAAAAAAACTGATTAAATCTATACCAAGACGTTTAAAAGTTGTTGTGAACACTAAAAAGATATCCTACTAAGTACTAAATTGAGAAAGAAATACAATATTTAAAGCTAAGTTGAGATTTTTGTTAAGTGTAAGAAGACTTTTGTGGCGTAATTTTTATTAGCTTTTTGATTATTAAATTTTAAAATAAAATAGTCTTACTATTTTTAAAAAAATAATTATGTCATTCCATTAAGAACAAGTTGTAGATATCATAAACAAATTACAATACATTAATTTTTATTACTTGAAAACATTAAATTTTATAAGAAATTGCAAGTGTACGGACACTTTTGTAGCCCACTGTATATTACTTATTTAATTTCCAGAAAAAATAATGAATCACATACACACACACAAACTTCTTAATAAGAAATTCTAATTTTTTACTTTACCCAGGAAAAATTAAGCCAAATTTTTTTTCATGTAATCAATTTTATGTAGATTAAAAAAACGTTTTGTCAAGTTATTCTCATTGTATCGATTTTACTTTTGTCGCAAATTCAAAATAATAAATATAATTTTTCTATGTTTAATGTTCATCAATAAGTAAACGTAAAACGGAAAAATACAAAAGCAAATTTAGTATATAAAAGGAGCAATATAAAAATATGTTTTTGATATATGGAGCTTAAAAGAAAATAAATTATTTAAAAACTGAGAATGCTTATGTGTCTTAAAAAAATTCCGGTTAATTTTTATTTATTTATTTCGGTAATTTATTCGGTAATGTAATTTCTTTTTCAGAACATTAAATTTAATAATAACAAATTTAAATGAAAACCTAGGTTGATAGCGTGTTATTATATTTTTGGTTTATATACATTTCTGTACTCGTGTACATTAATAAAAATATTAAGATACGTACATTGATATTCACTTAAATTATTATAATTTTTTTCTAAAAAATAAGCATTAAACTGTAAGTTATTATTTTAAATATGTTAAAATGATTTGATAGAGGAATTTTTAGATAAATTACTTTTGGAAAATACAAAAAAAATTGCATAGATCTCGCTGTTTTTCAAAATGGAAAAAATGAGTACTTTTGCGTTTTACCGGCGCAATCGATAATGTCACAAAAATGATAAAATCGACTCCAAACAGAATATTCCAAATTATTTACCTCCACATTTACAAAAGTATCTAAAGCCTTTTAGTATCAGTAACGTCTTTTTCATAATTTGTTAAGTGGCCGCGGTAGCCGAGTGGTATAGGTATCGGATCGTGACTTGTCACGAGTTCGAGCCCAGTACCACTAAAGACCCGCCATGTAGGGCAGTGATGCACGTTAAATCTGTCGAGAGCTGAAACGTCCTCCCGTTAGTGTGGTGTGGTAGTTAGGAGAGAGGGGTGCCAGCTCAGATGTCGTCTTCGTCACTTGACCATGGGACAAAATTACGTGGTCCGTCGCCAAAAGCCCACGTGTAGCTGAACAGTGCGACGTTAATATTCAATTATAATTTGTCAAAAACGGGTGAAAAACCATTGAAAACTAATACTTTTTAATCTTTTTTGTGCATATTTTGTTTTGTCGTCTTTTACGCCCACTTGGCGAGATTTGCATCTGCAAATTGGAAAATATTAAGAACAGGCTCTGTATGATCATTACTAAAATAATATTACAATTTCAAAATTTTCAATGACATGATAATTTAAAATATAACTTAAATCAAAATTCAAAAAAAAAAATCCTTTAAATCTCGTAATCTGGAATGTAAGATTTTTTTTTCGATTATAGGGCAGATTAATGTATCAATTGTATTTGGTGATGTTTTTTGGATTCCA